GTCGTGAAACAAAATGGCGGTGTTTTGGGGCTATTTTCGAGATTTCGTCGGGGCACAGAAAATCGAGGATGTAACCGACTCCAAAAATTTTTTCCCAGAAGTATTTCAAATAACATGTAGATTCGTTTTAGTGAAAAAAAAATTTGGGGGTTAGGTGCACTTTAAGTAATGGGACTTACACTTTTTGCCGGTATGGCACGTGAAGGAACTTATGAGGACGACGGCTACGGTTAAGTTGTTGGGACCGCCATTATTTACTTTTGGAGTCTCCCAAGTCTTGAGAATTGATCAAGTTTAAAGCAACTTTCACCTTAAAATTGGATCTACAGTACATCCAAGTATTAACGGAAGCTATTTGCCACTACTCAGAAGGTCAACAAACGAACCTGAATGGTAGAAGAAGTATTTTCACCGAGTGTAAGGATTATGCAAATGAGCTTTGACACGATAGTCATGTAAATACACTGACTGTGGCAGATATTAATCTGTTCTTGCGTGCAATCCAAGGAGATTAGGCTTTTATAGATTGTGCTTGCATAATTTTTAGCATAATTTGAGAAAACTAGCATAATTTTTCCCATTTTTTAAAACGTAGCACTGTTAGTATAATTCGCATATTTTGATAATTATCGGAACATTATTGGGTTTTGACAGGTACGTTGATTCCCTAATGCCAATTATGGGCTGAGATTGTTCATGTTTGACGGTATTTGCAGTTTACTGAGCCTGGAAATGGGGGCCTGGGACTAGGGTGTACGCGAAGCGGAAGTCCCATGGCAAACCATGCCGGTCTCAATAACTTTCATAGGCAAGGCTACAAAATGGCGTCAGCTATGCCAGCCGACCCGAGCGAAAACTTACAGCTCTCTGGGAGAAATGACGGGCCAGAACCAGCCACAATTACCAGAGACCGTTCCTTACTGTTAAAAAAGGGAAAGTACAAGCTTCTGATCAAAGAAAATGTATTTTTGGACTTATTTATCATGGTTTTTGAAGAGCACATTTAAAAAAAAAGTAGCATAATTTGGAAAAACGAGCACAATTTTAGCATAATTTGGCCAATTTTAGTAGCTGAACAAAATCCTTAGAGTAGGGGGTCCTCCAGCCTCGCTGGTAAGCTTAGAATTTTCCGAAATGTTTCTATATTTCGTCCGTCAAAGTAATGAATGTACCTTAGAATTCGTAATATATAGATTTATCCAAGCCTAAAAGCAGAGCTCCTGGGCCGAGTTGTTCAAAGCTCGATTAAGCTAACCCCCAAGATAAGCGAAAATTTTGACCCGAGTTTTGCAACTTTGCAGTGAGGTTTTCTATATACTGTTTGCCCTTCTGTTTTGAGTTTGAATACTCTAAGAAACTACACAAAACTAAAGCAGTGAAAAACATTTGTAAACGAGAAACTTTATGCTGTGGTTAACTTTTAATTCTGGGTTAGCGTTAACCCAGCCCAGTTTACAAGCTAATCTGACATGAGCCCGCGATCTAATCGAAAACCAGCTCTCGGTCGGCATGTGACCTCGATGAGCTCTAAACTTAAGCCCGTGATATGGTTGCGTGGTATTGGTCAGCGGATACCTTGTTTTGATAGGTGTCAATTGACCATAACATGGATGTCCAATATCAAAGAAGGACGTTATAA